TTAAATGAGCTTCTTGAGCTGCAGGCCATTTTACAACCTAAACTGAATATCGGTCAGGGTCCGACATACCCGAGGGACCGCCTCTCCCCATATATTCCCCCAAGGGCACTACAGTTGGGGATGCAACATCTGCTGGTGATTCCAGGCCCTAAAGAGGCTAGGCTTGCAGTTACTAGGGCAAAATCCTTTTCGATAGCGGCTCCTATCTGGTGGAATGAGCTCCCGGAGGAGATCAGGGCCCTGCGGGACCTTATGCAGTTCCGCAGGGCCTGAAAGATGGAGCTCTTCCGCCAGGCTTATGAGTAGGAGCAGCCACTACCACCACCACCACCACCGAGCTTGGGGAAACGGGGTGCAGGAGTGGCCCTGAGATCCATCACACTGCGGTACTACGACGTGTGTGCGCCACTGAGTTTAAGACCTGATTCTGGATCCCATCCCCACCATCTTTAAACTGAAGATCATGATCAGCTTGAAGCACTTTATTTGTATATTAGAAATGTTGTTTTAGTCTGTTTTTACTATGTTTTTATATTGGCACGCATGCCCTTGTGTTAGCCGCCCTGAGCCCGCTTGCAGGGAGGGCGGCCTATAAATCGAAATAAATAAATAATGACCTCAAGTAGAGCAGAGTGGGGCTGGCATTTGTTCTTGCTCGCTATCATACTATGATCCCTTCATGAACTTAATTTTCTTTGTCAAATACTGATGCGTGTAGATTTACGGTGAACCAACTATGGACTAAGCTCTGCAAATATAGACATTTTAAGGAAGAGGCTAATAAATTAAAAAGACACATCCCCAGTGTCTGTCTATTTAGAAGAGGGTATTTTTTGAAATGTTCAAGGTATCTTACAGCATATTAAAAATGCCAAGGAGACAACAGTCAATGCTCTTCTTCAGGTCCTTTCCTGCATTTACCTCCTGTGAGCATCTCGCAACCTCACCTTAAATCAGCTTTTGTATTCCAGCACTCATGTCAGCCAAGTCTGTGTCAGCCCACCATGAATACCGAGAACAGCTTGCAAACCTGACTAGCGGAGAGACAGGACCTAAAGACTCAAAAACGAAAACGCCAATTAAGCAACCCCCAAGAGCGCTGTGGTATAAAGGTCTTGTGATCTTTAAGTCAATGTCATGATTTCTTCCCCTGGAAGAGTGATGTATAATTGATCCCCCTGGGGGACTACCAAATCCTTGAGGTCCGTTAACACATCTGCGCAACACAGTGGTACTTGTTACAGGGCCTTCATGTCTGGCCTGGTCTACACAGGCAGCAACAATGCTCTGAAATATTTCCCTGTTCCCGAGGATAACCCTTGAGCATGTGCAGAGTGCATTTTCTTATGCAAAGCCATCACTCATTTATTGGGAACAGAGTTCCAAAGCTAGAGCTGATAGGCAAACCTACACTCCATTCATTTTCTTGTCTTGAGGATGATTTTTTTTTTAATGTTATTTACTGAAATATCCCCATCCAACCTTTCCACCCCTATAGGGCCCTAAGGAACTGAACAATATTAAAATCGTTAAAAAAGAGAGCACTGAAATTGAAATAATAATGCAATAGCCAATCCCACCGGCGGAACAGCAAATCAAACATAATTCAATGGAACCAAGATCAGAAGACAGAGATCATCAATCAACCTGTGTCAAAGGTGCCCCGGAAAAGCAGGACCCTGAACACATGCCTGGAAGGAGCCACCTGGGCCTCCTGAGCCAGAGAGCCGGCAACCAACTTGCTTTCTGGCTGGTTGGAACCTGGGTCAGCATGTTGGAGTTCAGTCTTGGAGCCACATTTATTTAAACATTTATATCCTGCCTTCCTTGTGGTTCAAGGTGGCTTAGAATAAGAGCTAAACACACGCATGCACACATACACAAATTACATAAGTAAATACATTAACAAGCAAAGAAGCTGTAAATACATTAACAAGCAAGGAGCCAGTTTGGTGTCGTGGTTAAGTGGACAGACTCTAGTCTGGGAGAACCGGGTTTGATTCCCCACTCCTCCACTTGCAGCTGCTGGGTGACCTTGGGCAAGCCGTAGTTCTGACAAGAGCTGTCCTTGAAAGAGCAGTTTCTGTCAAGAGCTCTCTCAGCCCCACCTCCCTCAGAGGGTGCCTGCTGTGGGGAGGGGAAGGGAAAGGAGTTTGTAAGCTGCTCTGAGATTCCGAGTGAAGGGTGGGGTATAAGTCCAATCTCTTTTCTTCCTCTTCTCTTCTTCTCTCTAAAAAAAAATTCTCTTCCAGGGACAGACCCTCCCCCTTCCTCTGCATGCAAAACGGGGACTCCACCCCGGAGCCATGGCCCCTCCTAGGGTTCCTGGAGATCTTCTGGAATTACAACCAATCACCAGACGACAGAGATCTGTTCCCATGGATAAAATGGCTGCTGTGGAGGTTGGAGGGTGGACTCTCTGGCATGGTACCCTGCTGCAGGGCCCTCCGCTTCCCAACCCCCGCCCCTCAGGCTCCACCCCCAAAATCTCCAGGCATTTCCCCACCCAGAGCTGGCAACCCTAGCCCCTCCCCAAATTATAGTTCAAAGGGCCTGTGCCAAGTATTCACTGGCTCTGCCCCAAGTATTCACCCACCACCAATGAGTACGGGTTTTTATGATTTGCCTTTATTGAATCCAGTTGTGCTTTATCTAAATCAGCAGCTATTTGGACTCTTCTAGAGAAAGATGGCTCAAGTGGTTAAGACGCTGAACTGCAGGCTGTGGAAGGTCGGTCGTTCAGCAGTTCGAGACCCGAGTTGCCGCATGACGGAGTGAGCTCCCGGCTCTAGTTCCAGCTCCTGCCAACCGAGCAGTTCAAAAGCAAGAAATTGCAAGTAGATAAATAGGTACCGCTTCGGTGGGAAGGTCACAGCGTTCCGTGCGCCTCGGTGTTTAGTCATGCCAGCCCCATGACCACGGAAACGTCTTCAGACAACGCTGGCTCTTCGGCTTTGAAACGGAGATGAGCACTGCAACCCAGGAGTCGGAATCGACTGGCTTTCGAGCAAGGGAACCTTTACCTTTACCTGTAGAGAAAGGGAGGTGGTGCTCCTCCTGTTGGATCTCCTCACCTCTGCTACGTGGAGATAACAGAACTGCAATCAGTTCCTCCACACCTGGATACGGGGACTGGGCCCCCAAGTCAGAGGGCAAGATATACGGGAAGTTCAGGCTCCTGCCCCTTTCCGAAAAAGGTAGTACCCACTGCCTGCCTGCCGCGGAGTATGTTCCTCTGACTCTGTGGGAGCTGCGGGGGAATTCCTGTCACACCGGAGCACGTGTCGTGTGGCAGACATGAGCGGACTTGGCACAGCCCCGCGCTTTCGAGGCTCAGGCTCTGCTTTCACACACGTGGCACGTCAGGCGCATCTGCCAGCCCCCAAAGCAGCTGCCTCTTTGCCTCAGCGCCACACTCCAGCCGGGACGCCAGGCACTGCGACTCTGTCAACTACCTGTGGCTGTGGCCACAGCGCTTGGCAGCTGGA